CCCTCTTCTGTCTTGTTGTCTGAGCCTTAGGTGTAGAGCTTGCAATATAGATGTACCATATGCACCATATTGGGCTTGCAATATAGATGTACAGTATGTACCATAGTGGGATCATATGCCCTGTAGGTTATTCTCTGTGTTTATTATCAGTTGTGTATCTCTGTAAAAAGCCCCTACTGCATCTGCTGCCTAAAAAAAGCTTCTTTGAGGAGAAGTGAAATGACACTTATCTGTGTGTAGAAAGGTATTTAGAATACAAATAAAAATCAGTTGGACTTAGGAAAATGGCAGAACTAGGTTCTCCTCTAGAACCTATGACATCTCCACCCATGGGTAGTTGACTAGGTCTATAGTACCAGACATGAATTCTCTACTATTGAGCAGGCCTTAAGTCTACTTAGACAGCTGTTTATTATCCCCAAGCTAAAACTGTCATTATTGTACCATAGGCTCATCTGGTTTGCCAGGCTGGCCGTTGTTGAAGTTCATAGACTTTACTGCTGGATGTAGAATTTTTTTTTTCCCCCCTTGGCAGCTTGCATAGCTTCTTCTGATACTGTGAGATCTAGTTCTTAAGAGGAAGCTTGCGGGTCAGTTCCTCCAAAGCCTGTGCCCAGATCATGTGGTGTCTTCAGCAATAGGATTTGACCTTCAAGTTGTGGGAGATGGCCAGAGACAATGGCAATAGCTGTGTCATGTGGAGGTTCTCTTGGACTTCTGTGACCACCAGTTCAAAGGGAGACTTTTCATTCCTGGCATAGGTGTTATTGTTACGTGTGGATTTGTGAGGGAGCATTATCACCCTGTTTAGCATAACTCTGTTTGCATGCTCTGTCTGTCTCTCTGTCTAATGATCTGTGTATCAATCTATCTATGAATGACTAGATTTTTGAAGTCTTACCAAGCAGGTTATATATCTTCCAAGAGTAAATTCTACAGAAATTTTAGAAAAGTAATAAATATGAAATTGGAAGCTATTTTACCATAAATTCTGTGTGATTTTAATTTTAACAAATATAAGAACTAACGTTGACAGTGTCAACTTGTGACCCAAGCTATAATAACTGCAACTCTTCAGACTATTATCACAGGATTTATATAAATACTCAAAATCGGTTTATTTCATAAGAATTACAGGAAAACCCAGTGTAAAAAAAGAGCCTAAACTGAATCAAGTAGGTATTTAATCTCAGATAAATAATTTCATGACTTACTTTTGGTTTTACTAAAAGAATTTGGATTCTGTATTCAAGAATAAGAATTGAATATTTAAAATTTTCTGGCTTTTAAGAGTACAAGTTAACAGAAAGCAAAATCCAGAATTTATATACTTATCTTTATATAAACGTATGTATATATAAATATATCATTGATCAAAAATAGGACATTTTTGTTGGTGTTTGTTTTGTTTCAGTTTCTTATGTTTGTTGTTTTGTTTTGTAAGTCAGGGTTTCTGTGTAGCCTTGGCTGTCCTGGAACTCAGAGATCTGCTTGCCTCTGCCTGTGGAGTGCTGAGATTATAGGTGTGTGCCACCATGCCTAACTAGGTTCTTTCCTGGTATGTGCTACATTAAATTGAATGCCTTTTACTACCTTGTTCTTGTGTGTGTGTGATAGCCATATCCCATAAAAAATGGTCATTAAAATATATATATATCCCTCTGTGCCCATGTTGGATAAGCAAGTTGGTCATTCTCATGAATCAGTTACCTCTTGGTGTTTGTGTGCCATTCACCAGGCAACAACACCATTAGTAGTTAGTGATCCCCCAGGAGAAGCAGTTTCATTACACAGCTGACAGATGAGAGCCACCAAAGACTGTCCTGTCTCTGATTAGTTAATTACTAACTTTAATACTTTGGATAGCTGTTCTTTTTGTGTATCTGTAATTGCTACATAGGTCTGTGTCATCACAAGCCATGAAGTGTATGAGCATTGCTACCTTCAGGTGAAGTATCTGAAAAGCAAAGTTAATGGTATCAAGCAATTAAATTGAACTGTCTTTAAGGAAAAGAAAGGTTTACTGCTACCCTTAAGTGTAAGTTCACACACACTGAATATTTTTAACTGCAGTAAGAGCATGTTAATTGTAGACATAGTGTCTTTCTGAGGATCTAAAAGCTTACTGAAAGAGTATCTGTTAGTAACTCATTTCAAAAAGCACTGAAATTTTCCTTTGCTTTTAAATCAGTGGGAGAAAAAAATAAAATAGCACATGAAGGGGTTTTTTTTGAGTATATTTGTAGAGTAAATTGACCTTGAAGTAAAGTGATTATTGATAAATTCCTTGTTAGTTTCTTACTATTGCTTTATCTTACCCATTAGTCTTAAAAGTTAGGAATTTACCCTTAATTTTCCCATAGTATAAAACAGAAAATATGGGTTATACTTTAGTGTTTACTACATGTACAAATTATTAGGTCTTATATAAAATTTAAAAAATGGTACAAGAGACAAAAGTGCTTAGAGCACAAACCTGATGGACTGATTTCTGTCCCCAAGCTCCACAAGAAGAGAAGTAATCCCTGAAAGCTGCAGTCTGCTGTCACATGGGCATTATGACATGCACACATCCACACCATGCACACGGTGACGACGATATGAATTAATAAAAAGTAAATATTGCATATCTAGCAATAACCTATCTTTTCTTACATATTTTTTTTTCATTTTTTGAAATGGAGACCATTTTCTGAATGTTTTTATTTTCTGAATGTTTTTATTTTCTGAATGTTTTTATGCCACTATCACTAAGATCAATTCTTGTGGTTCTGATTAAGCTGGACCTTTGCTTTTCGGTGGCATGATGGGTGACTTTACAGTGCAGTTAACAAAACCCTGGTACATAGCCCGGAGAGCACTGAGTGAGTCTCTATACACTTTGCAAAGACCTTTTCAGGTTTCCCCCTCGCTTTGCCACTCCTCTCCCCTATCTAAGCCTCCCCTACCTTGTGTGTGTATTTGGTCCTCACTCTGGGATTAAGAAGCAGAGATTTGGACATGGTAAAACCTCAGTGAAGCAATGTGAAAGCTTGTAAAATAGCACATCAGACTTCACATTAATCAGAGAAGTGGTGAAGAAGACGTTAACCATGTGGACTGTTGACTGTGAGGGGTGAGGGTTGGCCTTGCCCCTGTGCAGTGCTGCAGTAGACACAGCCACATGCAAGTGCCTGTGAGCACCTTTTGAAGCTGAGCACATAACCCTCACCAACAGGAATGCTGCAGGAGAAGTTAGACCAATAGCTGGCCTGTCATCAGAGAGTAGACTAAAAAACAATCTGATATTTTCTTCCTCGTCAAGGATTAACATTCATTCATTTTATTCATTGATGGATTTTTTTTCCAGTTGTGTCAGTTTAATAACTGCAAGTAACCGCATCCTAAATGTTTAGTCCTGTAGTGTAGCCATTTGTGTATCCATTTAAAGTCCTCTGTGCTCCTCTCTAGCTCTCCCGACACTCCTGCAAAACTAATTAATTCTTCCTAATTTAGAAGAACGGCCCTTTAATTTAGTCAGATTTTTGTCCTTTTTGAAGCAGTACATATTAGCCTCAGTGATTTGTAAGAGTTAGAAGTACAGAGTAGTTTTTCTTAAGCTACAAAGATGAAAAATGCATCTTGTGTTAGCCACTCTTTTAGCAGTACACTAAGATTTGAAAGATAGAGTAAATGTTGTCGAAATTATTACAACATTTAAAAAATATTTACCTAGGCATCTTTTTCATGAAAAAGAATGAGTAATGACTGCAGTAGAAAATACAGTCTAGAAAAATATCTTGATGAATTTGATGATATGAATCTTAATGTTTTTATCACACAATTTCTAACAACTGTGGTTAGAGACTATTTTGACACAGCTGTCATTCTGCTGTAATATAATACTCCTGGAGCCAGCGTTTATGCTTGGAGGGCTTTGTTTTACCTCACTTTACCCTACAGATAGTTGGATTTGATTTTAAAGTTTGCAAAAAAAAACAAATAGTAAGATCTTTGTTAATCATGTATGTGTGATTCATTTTTAAAGAATTTACTTCATATTATTTGCTAGTACTGGACATTAAAATCTTTGAATTGTCTACAATATGCGAGAATTACCTAGAATTCTTGCTGAAGTTCTTGAGGAAAGACTATGTAAAAGAATTGTACCCCTATTGCATAAAATTTGAAATCAGTGAATCAAAAGATATCAAACCAAATGCTAATTTTCTTGTAACATTAGATATAAATTCAATAATTGGGCCTTCTGGAAGTCATAAGTGTCACGTCACTGTTTATGTTACACAGCCAATTATGAGCCTGTTTGCTGTCCTTCGTGTTTACTGACCTGGGCAAGAAATCAACATGACAAACATTCCCTGAGAAACAGCTTAGCTGACTAGTGATGCCTATTTCTAGACAAATAAGAATTATTAATATTTTTCCATCTTCTATAACTGTTTATACTTAACCCTTCAAAAATATGCAAGAGTAATTTTTTCCTAAGATTACGTTTTAAAATGAATCTTTTAAATAATTAAGTATGAGAATATAAATTTCTGAGTTTGACTATGATTTGTTAGAAAAAACATTTGTGAGAAGCTAATAAGTTAACAAAAATCAATAAAGAAACTGAAATTTTGGGAAATGTTATTTCCACGAGTAACCTGAAATTCACAACTACTGCACTGCGCTACACACTTGTCTAGTTTTTTCTTGCTAAAGATTTGTGGTGTCTGTTTCATATGAAAGTTTTCTGTCTTTTCCAAGTGTCATTCTTGTGTTTTACACATAGAAGAATAATATGTAGCACTGGGGTCTAGTATAGAACTTTAAAAACTTAAATCTTATATTTTATAGTATTTTGATTTGCCCTATAATGCTTTCTTAAAATTTAAATTGTATATTTCAGTATATAGTATTTTCTGGATGCTCAACTAATAAATTTTAACTCTCTTAATTTTCTTGAGAAAAGGATCCCTTTGGAAGCCTCATTTTCTATTTGTTTGGTCTCTATGCAGGCGATGGGTGCGGCTGCTGTTTGGGAGGGAGTTCCCACTACAGGATCTGCTGGTGATCTGGGATGCCTTGTTTGCAGACAGCCTCAGCCTGAGCTTAGTAGATTATGTCTTCATAGCCATGCTGCTCTATATCCGAGATGCTTGTAAGTACTTGTGACCTCGCCTATATTCGACCAAGGAGCCATGATTTTCAAAAATGTTTTGCCTTCATACTGGCTTTGGGGGAGCCTAGGCAGTTTGGATGCTCACCTTACTAGACCTGGATGGAGGTGGGAGGTCCTTGGACTTCCCACAGGTCAGGGAACCCTAATTGCTCTTTGGGCTGATGAGGGAGGGGGACTTGATCAGGGGAGGGGGACTTGATCGGGGGAGGGGAATGGAAATGGGAGGCGGTGGCAGGGAGGAGGCAGAAGTCTTTAATAAATAAATTAAAAAAAGTTTTGCCTTTTAAATGTACTGTATATTTTATTGTTGGACTTATACATAAAAGTTTTTAATAACAGCAAATATTTTGACATGTTACAGGAAATAACTGAGTGCCTTTTCTGCTAGTGACCCTTGTATTAGGAGATTTGGGCGATGTCATCTTCAAAGAACTAGGATATTCTTTAGAAGAATTTCCAGACACTTCGTGCCAGTTTCAATCTGTCCGTATACACATTTGTGGACTGCATTGAAACAGTATTTCAGATATGTTTAGAGCTCCACCTTCTGACATGTAGCAAGTATTCAAGTATATTTATTGAGAGATTTGAGCTGTTTTTATAATACCAATGTCTTGCCAATGGGAAAATAAATCTGGAGTATTTGACTTCTGCCCAGTTATATTTTAACAAATTTTATTCCTTAGTATAGTACTCAGTGTTCCTCCCTCTTCAGAACCACCTTAAAGTATTTTACCATAGCCAGAAAGCCAGGGCCTCAACCTGTGGACATACCAGAATGTGTTTTAGATTTCATAATGTCTTAAATAATTTTTCTTTATAGAGAAGTAATCTCAAGTCCCAAAGCAAGATTTGTAAGCCAAAATATAATTAGGAAAGATTGCACTAAGTATTGGGAATGAATTAGGAAATAGAAAACTATTGTAAGTGTTGGAATAAATAGCCACATTTTCTCCAAAAACTGTGGAGGTTTTATTATGCCTGGAAGGTCAAATAATTTGGGCTTCTTGACAGATAAAGTAAACAAGTTCCTTCTAGTGGAGCCAGAACTAATGAGGTAGAACATGGACTGTGGGAAGCATAAGACGAGACACATATACAGTAAAGCAGAATGTGGAGTAGATATGATAGATACTGAATTTTTGGACATCTAATACTTACCTCCCTTTTAAACTTGTATGTAGTCTACATTTGCAAAAACAAAAAAAAATAAGAGAGAAAATAGTATGAACAACTCTCTTAGGAAAAAGAAAATTCTTTTGGACAGTATTTTTACAAATTTTTCCAATTTAGACAACTGTTGAAATGCATTCTGATTTTCTAAAATTTTAAACAATTAACAATTTACTCCTTTCATAATTTTGTCACATATATTAATGTAATCATCAAGTCTCTTATGCTAAGATCTATTCTTATTTTTATAAAACATGGCAAAGTTTTGGCAGCTAAAGTCCATACACAGTTCTAATCTTTTTATTGATGATTCTGTAAAGCATGGGCACATGTGGAAAAGCACCAGGGTAATGGCATTGTTGATTGATTTCAGTATTAAATCTAGAGCAGCAAATGGACCTCTGAAAGCAGAGTGGGTAAAAATTCAGTGTTTAACGTGTCCTTTCTCTAAAGAAGCTTCCCAGGTACAGAACTTGAGGGGCAATATGAAAGAGAGGCATTGCAGGCAGAGAGAAACAGCAGAGACAGAGGCCTTCAAAGAAGAAGCTCCTTGCTGGGAATAGGTATCTCTTCAAGTTAGATGACATCACTAAAATACAGTGCTCATGAGAAAATAGGGTTATAGAACTGAAAAGGGAATAGGCAGTGTCATGATGGCCATCTCTGATCAGTAAGCCACAGGGCTATTGGCACATTCAAAACAGAATGTGAAAACGAGATTGAGTAAGACAAGACGAGAGCTGGGAGATCAGATAAAAGTTATGACAGTATTCCAGAAGTCAAAAGAGTAAAGTAGAGAACTGTTTAGCGCTAACCTTAGCAGGCTTAAATATGAAAAGTGTTGGGAATAGGAAATCTAGAGCAGTCCCCTTTTCGGAGGCTTCAGTGCCCAGATAATTGAATAGGAAATATAACAGCTAGGATTTAAGTGTGATTTAAGCCTTATCCATACACATTAAGATCATTGTTAGTATCAAGAATGTATAGAGTTTTGCATATAATTAACAAGCCCTTATTTTGTCAAACCATAACAATGGCTATAGCCTCTCAAGAATAAGGTCATCATAGTATCCTACTTTGTTTGCCATAGTCTTGCTGTCCCAAAGTGTCAGTTAACACTCCCTCTTTTCATATGAAATACTTCCCATTGCACAGCCAGCCTAGTTACGTTGAGCATCTACAGAAAGTGAATGTGGGCAAAGGTGGAACTCTGCACATAATATTGGTGTTTTAATCTGCAGGAGTTCCTAGAAGAGGAAGCACTTATACTACAATCTCAAAGAACTGTTGCTGGTTTTCAGGTTCCAAGCACACTCATTCCTTTACAAGTACACGTGTATTAAAAGCCACAGATATGAGAACGAACATATGGGATTTTGGCTTTTTGAGCCTGGGTTAACTAACGTAATATAATACTCTCCAGTTGCATACAGTTTACTAAAAATTTCATAATTTTAATTTTCCTTCTGGCTCAATAAAATGTGCTCTGTGTGTGTGCAGCACATTTCCTTATCCATCCGTCTACTGATGGACATTAGGCAGATTCCAGTTCCTAATAAAGAACATAGATATGACAAATATCTTCGAGAGCAAAAGAACAGGAGACAAAGATACAGGAGCATGGATGGAGAAGTGTCAATCAGTATGAGTTTTTCCTTCAGGAATCAGTGTTATTATTCCATGGCTGTGTCTATGAAAAGCAAAACTACCTCGTGCTCTTGTTTCCTTCTATTGTCTAAGCACCCACTATACTCTACTCCTTGGTGAGAGGCAGAATTTTTGTCTCTCTTGATTTCTTTATTAAATACAGCACCTCGGGAAAGGCCTAATACAAAAAAAAAAAAAAAAAAAAAGGTATTTCCTGAGGAGAGTAACTCAGGAAGCAAGAACCCTGAATAGGAAGACTATGAAAGCCAGGCTATGTGACAGCAATAAGGCTGACCTGTGAGGAAGCACCAGCCTGGTGCAGAAAACAGAAAATGAGAAGAATCCCATACTGTGCTATGGAAGAGGAAGAATAAGGGTAGGTAGGTGTTTGGTAGCCAAAGTGAACATGGTTGAAAGATCAGACCTGGGATAACTAAGATGAGTTCTAGATCGAGCAAGCTTATGCAGCTGTGCTCAATAGTCCCTAGAGGACGAAGGGAGGTAGTTGGCTTCTACTTGGGCCCACCTTCAGATGAATCGAGGTAACCGAGAAGATGGAGATGGTGAGTGCATTTTAAGAGACTGGCTTTGGACGTCCAGAGAGGGAAGTACAGCTAAGAAATGACTGTGAAGAAATTAGAGTACAAGGCATTGGAACTAGAGCAGGAAAAGGGCAAAGCATAGACTAGAAAGCTGTGGCCACATAAGAGCACTTGTAGATTTAATAGATATGGCCAAGTTAGTGAAGGGAAGGAAGACACTTAGAAAATTAAGTTAAAGAAGTTAAGAGTTTTCTTTGGTTCTCTAAGAAGCATAATAGGAGAAGAAGATAAGCAAAAAAAACATAGAGTAAGACACAAAGACCTCAAAGAAAATGATCAGGAAAGTGATTTTTAATCAAGCATGTATTCAAATAACCAGTATTTTAACACATATTTACCAAGTTACTACTATTTATTAGACCTGGGTATGCATATGCCATTCTTTCTAACTTATGATGTAAAAACTCCTCTCATCTGTTTCATACTCTATTTGACGTTAGATATTTTATGTAGATTAGATTTTTCTGAGTTTTGGTTTCACACTGGAACCTAGGCTGGTCTTGACCTCATGGCAGCCCTGCTTTAGCCTCCAGAGTGCTGGGACCATGGTCATGTTCTACCTTGCCCTCTACCCATTGATTTTCTTAGTCAGGAATTCTCCCAACTGTGTATGGTGTAATGAATTTTTCTCTCTGAACTTTTTGTGTCTACAAAAGTTTTATTCTTTTTTTTAAACTTTTTTTTAATTGAAAAAAAATTTCCGCCTCCTCCCAGCCTCCCATTTCTCTCCCCCTCCTCCCACTCCTCTCTCCCTCCCCCCACTCCTCTCCCCCTCCCTCTCCAGTCTGAAGAGCAGTCAGGGTTCCCTGCCCTGTGGAAAGTCCAAAGTCCTCCCCCTTCTATCCTGGTCTAGGAAGGTGAACATCCAAACTGGCTAGCCTCCCACAAAGCCAGAACATGAAGTAGGATCAAAACCCCGTTCCATTGTCCTTGGCTTCTCAGCAGCCCTCATTGTCTGCCATATTCAGAGAGTCTGGTTTTATCCCATGCTTTTTCAGTCACAGTCCAGCTGGCCTTGGTGAGCTCCCAATAGATCAGCCCCACTGTCTCCGTCGGTGGGTGCACCCCTTGTGGTCCTGACTTCTTTGCTCATGTTCTCCCTCCTTCTGCTCCTCATTGGGACATTGGGAGCTCAGTCCGGTGCTCCAGTGTGGGTCTCTGTCTCTATCTCCATCCATCACCAGATGAAGGTTCTATGGTGATATGCAAGATATTCATCAGTATGGCTATAGGATAGGGTCATTTCAGGTTCCCTATCCTCAGCTGCCCCAGGAACTAACTGGGGACATCACCCTGGGCACCTGGGAGCCCCTCTAGGTCCAAGTCTCTTGCCAACCCTAAGATGCTCCCTTAATTAAGATATGTGCTTCCCTGCTCCCCTATCCCAAAATATATAAAGAACTCAAAAAACTAGACTTTAAAATGCTAATTAACCCAATTAAAAAATGGGGCACTGATCTGAACAGAGAATTCTCAACAGAAGAAGTTCAAATGGCCAAAAGACACTTAAGGTCATGCTCAACCTCCTTAGCAATCAGGGAAATGCAAATCAAAACA